TCTTTTACGCACATACACTCTGCCATACACACATCGCGTTAGCAATCAGCTGGTTGCAGTGTCCGACGGCCGGCGATCCGCAACAACTTTTGTTAAAGTGACGTTATTTTAAGAAACACGTATTCTTGACATAATTCTGAGATATTTTCTTCTTTACCAAAATTTTATTTAAAGCATAATTTTATGTTGTAAGATAAAATAGTTAGCGACCCATGCGGTGGTAATGAGACGGTCAGCTGTGTCGGGCGCTCGCGGCGCGCCGCGCCGCTCCTGCCTGCCTTCTGTATTCGACGCGTGATTTGCTAACTATTTTTGCTTATAACTCAAAAATTACGCTTCAATTCAAATTTTGGTAAAGGAAAAATCGTCTTAGAATTGTATCAGGAATACGTCATTTCACGGACGGAAGGTTGTTCCGGAACACCCTGTATATTGATAAAATCCGTTGAGCTCTAAGGCCTTCTTTAGGGCCGGCTAACTCGTACCCTATCGTGCTCTCACAAACGCGAACTTCTACATGTGATCGCGATGTAAGACGTAAGATATATTGACAATAATTTAGGTAGACAATGTTGACGTGTGTGTGTGTGTGTGTGTGTATGTATATATGTATATGTATATATATATACATATATATACACGTGATATATTATGGCCTTTATACATCCATATATATTCGCCTACATATATTATATATATATATTGTATCTTGCTGCTGCTTCTTTAAACGTAAGCCTTAGATTAAAAAAAGAAAAACAGACACTTTACATACAATTAACATTTACACCATCCTTACAACGACACAACAACGATTCAGTCGTATGTATATGTGACTGACTATTACAAAGAAATTCTGAAAACAAGAAATACTAGACAAATGACACGTACGGAGGCATTTTATTGAGAAGCCGCTCGGGTCGCTGTTGTTGAACTGATGGAAAAGGTTGCGAAAGAAAAGAAAAAGAAAGAAACGGGGGAAAAGGGAAAGGCCGAGGAGTGAAAAGAGAAGAGGGAGAATAACAGAAATCGTATTCCAAATTGAATCGACAATGACTAGCAGTTCCTAACTTCTCAGCTGGTTTAAGCATTTCTTGCATCGTCATTTGGTATTTTCACATATTAACGATATAATTAAGATAAAGCTACGATTAAAATAATCATAAAATATAATACGAAAAAAATTGTAAGACGGATTATTCATTAATCTGAGTCACTTACAGTTTTCTATTATGGAAAAATAAATAAAGAATATATCTCTTCTAACGTCCGATTAAAATTAATTACGTTATCAAAAACAACAGAAAGATCCAGTTGAGGGGTTAATCTATGCCCACGAGATTCAGCGTTCGCGATTCTTGCGGGTAACCTCGTCACTACCAAGCAGCCACACTCTAAATTCGAAACTAAATATGCGAATCGGAAGANGAGAGAGAGAGAGAGAGTGAAAGAGAGTGTAAGAGAGAAAGGAGAGATTACACGCAGCAAATCACTCGACGATCGGATTGATCGGACTTTGACGTGGGCACGATCGCTCGTGTCACAGGGGCGTGAAATGTCCACCTGTCATTGGCAGGGCTGTTTCTTGGTCACTTTGCGCGGCTTTGCCGATCTTCGGTTAATGTTTTTGCAGAATTTTCCTCGTCCGAAAATTAAGTTCGCTCTTCCCGGAGCAAACTTATCGAAATAACCCTGCAAATGACACCGGAAGTAGGTGGTATTGACTATCGATGATATTTCAATGAGATTAAATATGTACCATCCTTTCTCGGATAATCTATATTTACTTGTCCGACTGTAAATTATTAATCGTTACATTGCTTTACTTGGCACAAGTGTGAAAAACAAGTTTGTGAATGCATGTCGAGAACTTTGTCCCATTGATTCGAGCAGGATCGTATAATTTAGAAGTCTAGATCTAATTTATTCAATCACATTATAAATTACAAATACTTAATTTAATAATAAAAGACGTAAATATCGATTTTTCTTTAAAAATTGCAAAAAACGATGTATAACAGAAATTAATAATAAGTAAAGATTAATATGAAAGTTAAATTAATTTTTTATTATTATGCATTTATTCTCTACTCGATTAAAATGAGAAGAAAACATCGAGAATATGAATTAGACAATGCCACCTACGTAAAAGACCTTTCGCTAAAGTTTCCTTTTCTCGTAAAAACAAATGTGCTCTTCCATTCTGCAAAGGAACAATTCATTTTCTTCCTTAGAAAACAATCCTCGAAAATTGCGCACATGTTTATCGGGAACGGCAAATAATTAAGTTAATGACGTGCCCGCTGAATGATGTAACGCGGCAAATGGCGTATTGAATAATTACCGTGACCTATGAGAAAACCGAATTGATCGTAACGCTCGCTGTTAATTGGTTTCCGCGTCCTATAAATTTTTAACGCCTCGTAACCATAATTGCTGTTTATCGAGTTTATCATTTCTGCATCGCAGAAATTCTGACGTGCGCGAAACATATATTTGCGTATTATATCTTTTCTAAAGATTAAAGAAATTAATACTTATATATCTACATCTATTTATATATTAATTTTTCTATTAATTTTTTGAATTAAATTAGAGATATTAAAACAATATTTTTTTTTCTTATGAGATGACAAGAAAGAGATACAGGATATTTTCATTAACATGATGAGAAAATGAAAAGCACGCTATTTTATAACTTTCCTGGCATATCGTCGACTTTCCAAATTAATTTGTCTACAACGCGGAGAGCGATTGCGATTTACTCTTTTTTTTTTTTTGCAGCATGGAAGACGCGTCAGTTCGCACGATAATAATGTACAATTGTCGATGTATTTCAAGCAACCGCTCGCGAGATTACAACAAAACGCGCAGCATAATAATCGTGTTGGTTTGCCGATAAGTAGCACGCTGGTTTCCTGTTTCATTTACAATGAGATTAATCGTATCCGTTTATTTCGGCCAGCGCTTTCTGACAACGGCCCGAATTAATAGACTAATGAAATGCGACTCTAATAACACGACACGATGACTGATTATATCTCTTATTATTTCTTTTTTGTTCTTTTTGTTTCAATGCGCATCGACAGGCAAAATTTGACAGGTTGTTCGAGTTTTGAAATCACAATCGGCGTAAAAAGAAAACAATTATTTATATCAATCACATAACATTGAATGTTTAAGAAATAATGAAAATATACATTATTAGTTTTATGATATATTTAAGAATTATCACGCGATGATGATCTAGGATCCTTTTTTTTTTTTTTTTTTTTTTTTTAATAAAAAAAAAGTTTGTAAAGACGAATTTTTTTTTATTAATTAATAAATAAATTTAAAGAATCATATTGTAAACATTATAATCTCTCCGTGATGAATGACGATGAATGAGATTTGCTATCACGATTTAGACGTGCACGAATTGACGTTTTTTATCCCCGACAGTCACGATCATATTCTAGGAAGGTTACGATCGATCCCGTCATCCATATGTTCATTCGATCAGAAGTAAGCACGAAGCCACGCTGGGATATGCATACACGTACACAAATTGCACACATATACACGATACACATTTACATAAAAAAAAAAGATAGGCATACAAAATTCTAACTTTCGAAAATAAATTTTCTTCATACATTTGCCGCTATTTAATTACACAAAAATCAATCGCGCGCACACAGCAAAAATTATTCAAAATTCGAAAATTATTCGGAAAGATTTGGCTAAAATTAAAAGCGAACTTTCTTCGACAAGATTTCGAATCCATAAATTGCGCGCGCGCGCGCACACACATACACAAAAAGAGAGGAAGAATATTCTATTTGTACAAAACACTTGCTCCGCAATTGAAATACATCGGCAAAGAGAATCCCCGAAACACCCCTAGGATCACCTTTCACGATTCGATAGATATGTATCGATGTCGCTATCGTTACGTGTCATTAAGGACATATATCGACATGTCAAAATATGCGACATCGTTGTTAAAAATTAAATACAAAAGAAATTGGCCTACTGATTAAATTTAAACATTTCAATGAGGTTTATAAGCGAAAAGCGCTAACATAAGACGAAGAATCGCGAAAGGTGTACGTTTTAGAATTTTATTTGTTTGAGGAAGAGAGAGGGAGAGTGCTTACGGAGTAAAGGAGGAATAAAGAGAGATTGAAAGCAAAAAGAGGGGGGACGAATACGGTCGGTCAGTCGGTCTTTCGGAGGAAAAGAGAGAGATGAGAATTTCTCAATAAAACGCCACCGGGCTATCAGTTATATCAGTTATATATATCTCTATCTATATATCTATATCTATATATATATTATATATTAGTAATATATATATATATATATATATACTGCATGGCTGAATATACATATTATATTACGTAATTCACAGAATGACTCTAACAAAGGTTCTTCCCCTCCGTTCTGCGTCTTCGAGTCTATTTGCCTCGATGCATCGAAAAAAATTCAAAACGCATCGGTCGATTTATTCGAAAAAAGATGAGCATAAATATATTTTATATAAAAAAGCAGGGTTATAGAGTCGGGTAAATTCACAAAACACGGGAGGGGTCGCGGCGCGTGAGTCGCGCGCCACCAGGGTGTCCCTGAATAAAAATAACTCCATTACGAGCCGCTATGACTCTGCAACACACACGAATGAACCCGAGGTGTCCGAGAGGCAATTTATTTAACGAATACGCGAGATATTATTCGAAATACATACACACGTATACAATAATCCCGCGATATTTCCAACTGTCAATTTCCTTTATTTTTCTTTTAACAAATTTCAAGGATCTCTAAGCTTTCGAAGATACAAGAACAATTTAATCTTACATTAATTCGCGTTAAATTGAGAGATTTATTTCATTTTTTATACATGAATAATGTGTCATTTTTTTTTTTTTTTTTCTCGTCATATTAATAGCGCACAATATTTATCGTACAATATTTGACAAGGTTTTCGAAGGACACCCTGATGGGCCGCCCCGATTCCTCTCGTGCGAATCCGACGACGGCGGTTCGAAAGTTTGTTTGTTACGTGCAACGGCATGGAAACGAGGACGGGAAACGCGAGCGCGCAGTGACGACACGCTTTATACACGTGGAGAGCGCCGGCGCCCTCGTTTCCGGTGCCCTTCTCTGTCTCTCGCGTCTTTGTCCCTAGAAACACGACACGAAGACGTATACACGGGGAAAAGTGATCTTTAGACGAACTGCCGGCTACGCCAAACGTCGACGAGCTTCACTGTCTCGGCGGAGTGTCTGATGACCTTAATAGATTCTAGTCCTGGAAGACCGTTTGCCGGAAACGCAAATGTTTTTATATCAAGAAGCATTAAAATATTTTCAAAAGCAATCACGATAAAATACAATATTTCGCAATTAAATTTTTATAATTCGACATCGATCTTAACGATAACGA